AGGCAGCTCTTCGGTGCTTGCTACCTGAACTTTCCCATCTGCAGGAGAAGGAGCTGCCGACGACAGAGCAATTGCCTCTTCACGAGAAGGTGAGTCACTGTCATCATCGGAATCAAAAACGACTGTCGCCGTTGAGTCAGCATCGGAATCGGATTTTTTAACGAGACGCTGCCATTTGGGTAGTCAGCAGCGATAGTCGCAGAGTCTGGACAGTACGTTGCACCTTAGCATCGGTAGCTGATAGCTCTGACGCAGCATCCGACGACTGCCGAGATTCAAATTCAACCGAAATGATAAGCCAAGCCACAGTCTGAGCATCAGATTCATCACTTGACGAGAAATCAGAATCCACGATACCATTGAAATCCATAACTTCGCCATCGTTAGCTTGTTCAGCCTCAATCTGCAGCGAAGAACGAAACGACGATCGATCTGCCTGCTGACAAATCGGACGGATCTTGTGGGGCGACGGCTCGGCGTCATGGGTTACAGCATCCGGTTGGCGTACTGGTAACGTGTGCTCCGAAAACTGGGAGTTGCATGAAACTGTCGATCCGGCGGCTCCGGCCAATTTTTTTGCTGCTGATCTGGTTCGTGTGGTGAACTGTATACGAAGTTTTTTAAACTTACTCTAATAGAGGCACCTGGCTGCAGTACTTTAATAATCTGATATCCTGTAGTACATGATATAAATAAAAGCCAGGTCGCTCCCAGAGACTACGACCGGTATGAAGTAGTTTAATATTACTCTAATGACAAACCTGATTTAAAATTTTGAGGACAGGAAGTGTATATGTGTAGCCTACGACTACGAAGTGGCCGTGGAAAAACGTGTAATTAGTCTTGTGGTTACTGACAGTAACCTGCAGTCTTGAAACTGTTTGTATCATTCTTCGACAACTAAAATACGTATATCCCAAACATTGTAGCTTTTTCGGACTAAATTTTAGTCTGGCACAATGGTCCTCCCAACGCTATCGTGTTATTACTAATTTTGCCGCACGCTCGACTCGATTAGTACCCACGATAATCGCGACACAAACCAAGACTCTAAAAATGATCAGAGTACTTGTGCAACACGTAAAACTAAGAGAGCTTACTTGGATTTAGAGGCGCCAAAGGAGCCTTGGAAGACGCCAACTGTGTGTTTGAGGGGAGCCTCATTTCACCGGATCTTTCGTGCAAATCGGGTGAGGTCTGTGAGTAATTCGGAAAGAGTTGGTAGCTGCCACACTAACTACCACTTTTATCGCTGGAGTAAGCTCTTTTCCTCTATCCTCCGAACATTTTTGTTTGTTTCCGAATATTTGTGAGTAAAACAATACTACCGGTGGCGCGAATGAGGAGCTTTACATAATTTATCGCAAGTCTAGTAAATTATTCTTTAGATCATTGCACTCACTTGTCAAGCGTCGCCAAAGAAATCTGAAGAGCCACTTGGGTAGAAACTGCAGCGATGGAGTTGGTGACGAAGGTTCGGGACGCTGAGCACTGGGTTCAAGTGCTGGAGAGCAGCGAAAAGAAGTTAGTCGGTGCGTTTCCCACTTCCTGGAGCAATCGAAATGGCTGCAGGCGGTTGATAACCATGCTGCGGCAGTTGTTGACGTGCACAAGGATTGGTGTGGGCCATGCAAGATCGTGGAGCCGTCCTATAAGCGCTTGACTACGGACATCGAGCACGCAGAGCGTCGAGTCATGTTCGCGACCGTAAGCACAATTTTCGATACTACGATGTGGAAACTCAATCTTCGTTTATTTTAGCTGAATGTTGGACTTCACGTCGATGGTATCGAGGACACTGGCGGTTGCAAGCCTCGGTTCCTCCTTTTTAAGGTTGAAGAAAGAAACGTTTGATGTTACCTAGGCCTTGAAGCAACCATAATAACAACGAGATCCCGTGGGTTTTTAGGACCGCAAGCAGATCGCAGATGTGGATGGAGCGAATGCACCGCTACTCGAGCAATCAGTTAAACAACATTTGCCACCGATCGGGAACGACGATGAAGAAAACTAACATGACTCGATATTAAAAACGAAATACAAGATCACGTATGCGATCAGATGAAATCGTAACCCGCATGCTTGGAAGCACGCACTGGCAACGCGTTGTGAGTTGAGATCATGAAATACCTGTTAGCCTTTCGAGTAGCTCGAAGGGCTTATTCAAGAAACGAGTGCCTGCAACACTTGTTGCCCTCTACGTATCTCAGATCGAGAAATTGGCGGAACACGAAACCAGCGTCTTTCAACTCGGCATCGCTTGCGTGTGGCTCTGTACGAGAAGTTCTGTGTCTTGCGATATGAGCGATTGGTAATCATCAACAAGGCAGGACACGTCAAGGACTCAGTGCATGGTTGCCTAACAAAAACGAAATAGCGTCATCGACTTTATCTAGTAAACATACATCTTGTTTTGCAACGATAGAGATTAACAGTAGTAAATTTAGGCTTACCGGCCATATGTGCAGGACGACCTTCTTGGGTGCCTTTAACTTCATGAAACACAAAGTGTTATAGAGAAGTTAAATTGAGATGGCGTTTGACGCACCACTTGTCATGCCAACCAGTTGAATGAGGTTGGATAAAAGGTGGGTGTGTTGGCTAAAAGACGTGGGATCTGGCTACGGTTCACCACCAACGAAGACCAGTTGTTCATACACTTGTACTTGAACTACCACGGTCGTCAAACACATCATCCTTCTCCTCCAGCACTGTCGCATGATGAATATCCCTACTAAGCACAAAAAGTAATCAGCCCGGGAGCTTGGACGAGCACATTAGCAAAGCGTTAATGAAATTCCTGCGCGATGATTCATAACACAGGACAATTTACAGTCCGTAGTATTTCTTGGATGGTCGTATTGTTGTTCATCTTCCCACTTCTTGCAAATTTTGCGAAGCTGAACTCCGCGTATGACAGCTTCTTGGCAGATCCACCGGAGTCTTTCTTCATGGAAGCCATTTCTTTCGTCATCTCAGTAAGCTTACTGGGAGTAAAGCTCCAGATAGTGCGCTTCGCTTTCGTTTTGGAGGAGCATTCCCATGGTAAAGTCGACTCAGAGTTCTTAGCCGACACCTGAAGGTCGCAAAAAGGTTCCTACGCGCAATTTCTGAATTCATTACGTAGTTCTCCTCGTCCAGCTTCACAACAACGTACGGCTTCTTCCCAGGGCTCGAGAAGTACTCAACTGGTGGTAGTATCTCTGCGCTGTAGCCAAGGCTATCGAGACCGCTGATTTATGATCAGCCGTGTACCTGGCTAAGCTGCCATCGGCAGCACTCAGCAGGCTGGTAAATTTCGTTCCAAAGCGTCTTGAATGTCTTGTTATTCCTTGTGACAGATGCAGGAAGCAAGGACGTCGTCTTTCTCATTGATTCGGGCCACTTGACACCTTGCTTACGAACGTCGTATAAGACGACATATTATTTTTGTTACGTCGTATATTACGACATTGCACGAAGGTCATTAGCAAATGGCTCGGAAAAGCTTTTTCAATACTTTAATCAAGTTACCACAAAAATATAATCTGCGAGAGGTCATTTTGCTACAAGTCAAAACCAGGCCAGGGGAAGGGGATCAGCCACGTCGTAAACAGCCACTCATTCGACATTTTGCTGGATGGTGCGCATACGGAATAGTCGACGCGAGAAGCCCGCCGTGCCGGCTGCCGCTACACACGATATTGACTTTGGCCACTTATGGCGGCAGCTTCGGGTGGCGGGGTGGAAGTCCACATGCCCAGCTTTTGTCTGTAAAGCGAGCTCAACATTCTACCCCGATGCTGTGATGCGCTATTTCAGCAACATACAGAGCGGCTTAAAGAAATGGGATCTAACGGACAAGCCCGAGAGGATCTGGAGCTGCGATGAGACAGGCATTTGCCAGCAAGGATATGGAGGTGAACGGATCGTTTGCCCGAAGGGACTCCTAGCAAACGTTCAACGCTCGAATGACCGCGAATACACCACCTTTCGGCCTGTATTAGCGCTTCTGGTAAAAGGATACCACCAGGGCGTGGGAAATACAATACCCAGTGTTATTTTGCGTGAATCCCATCCGTAATAAAGACTGCAATACCTGGCAACACAATAATAATCACTGCAATAATCACAATATATTGCTATCACTTAGTCTTCGACGCAACCGAGAAGGGTGGAGCAGCTCCACATACTGCGATTAGCACGAGAAATATGGCCGTTTCAAAATTAGCTGGTAAAGTAGATGAACGCAGCGATGTAAAAACAAGCTTACACTCAGAAAAAAGGATCTCGCATGTGTTGCTTGTCGGAGGAGCGCAGAGCAGGATCATACTCGACAGACGCCTGCGATACAAGCCGTGCCTTCTTGGCTTGCCGGAGGACGGAGGTCGCGAAGTCGGCCGTAGCCGGCACTTCCTCTTGTAATGTAGACGGAGATAAAATGAAACTGTCGACTGCATGTAATTCATCCGCTGAGAGGGGTAGGTCGTTTTGCAGCTTCACTATTGCAGACTCGAAATGGGGCGAGTGAGCAATCTCAGCTGTTGGTGCCAAGTAGTTAGCCATGACAGGATACTTAGCAGCACACGCATCAAACAACAGGCGCACCTCGGCAAGCGTGCACGCCTCCGCTTGGATTTTCACACACACTGTCCAGCTCACGAAGCTTGTCCAATACACCTATAACGCGGCGGTGCGCATGGCCACGAGGCACAAACTCTTCAACAGCCTCCACCCTCAGGATCGCATCACGGATCTTGCAATATCGGTCAATCATCTGGAATGTAGACGACCAGCGCGTAGTGTTTGCCTTAACAGGCTTGTAGTCTGTCGCCTTTGCCAGTGCGGTAGCATTTTTGACATGACGCAGCTGAATCATCAGGTTTTGAATCAGATCTATCTGAGTCTGATAAACCTGCAGAAATCGATTAACCGCGAGGTTATACCGATGACTTGCACAGCCAATGAGGGAAACGCCCATTCGTGTATCCATACTCTGATTGGTTGCACAATTGTCCTCCACAACATAGCACACCATCTGCAGGTTCGTCTCGTACACAGTTAGTACGGTGGATATATGATCGAGGTGGGCTTCAGCTGTCTGGCCGTCTTCCATTGGCGAAAGCACAAGAAGGCGCTGGTGGCGCACACCATTGTAGACGTAGATCGCGTAAATACCGAGGAAGTGGGGTGAGTGACTAGTCCAACCGTCGAACATTAAAGCAAAGGAGGTTCCCATCTCCTTTGCAATGATTGTTCCAACGGCTAGAGCCACATGACGCATGTACCGCTTTAGTGTCTTGGTAGTCTTAGGCTTCATTGTAACTACAGCACGCGTAGCCTTGTTTTCCACTTCAGTGATTGGTAGATTTCTCTCGATCACCCATACCATCCATTGGTAGATATTGCGCGTCTTATCATCCACAAAACCAAACGTGGTGAGTGCTGGCGTCTGCGTGGCATGAAGTTCTGCAAACTCAGCAGCATACCCAGCGTGCTTGCTGTTAAAGTGGCTGAGGAGATTGCTGTACCCCGTGCCGGGCGTCTGCTTCCGAGGAAGCCACACGATTTACACTCAAAGCGACCTTCGCCGAGGTCGTTGAAGTAGAGTGCGCAGAGTTGACGGGAGGTCATCGTGGGTAGCGTGGTGGGTAGCGTGGCTAAGAGCGGTGGCTTGTTCTCTAGAGAGGAAATTGAGAAATGGGGAGTGTGTGGATCAAAGCGCGCAGAGTGTATTTGCAAGGCAGTAGAGAACTGTTGGTTGTCAGCGCTCCTGGAAATGGTTGGAAGCGTGGAAAATATTGTATTATTGTGCTCAGTTTTGTATTATATTTATCTTGAAAAAATCAATAGTATCGTTATTCCGTAAATATAATACCCGTAATATTGATATTATACTATTTCCCATGCACTGGATAGATCTGGATGGAAGGCGCTAAGAAAGAGGCCCGCTGTGCGATGCGTGAAAGCTTAAATTTCAACTTTTACATTGATTCAAATGGTTTGTAAGTCTGCTACAACTTATCCGTCATTGGTTCTTTCAATGCTCGGTATGAGAAAGCCCTCAAGCGTTTTTTAGCACGTAGCAAAAACAAGTTCCTCGTTAAGGCTGATCGCTGGTATTGCCCGCGATCCGTTGATACAGGTATGCTGTTCTCATTAAGCGAAAATAGGATTTGAGAAAGCTGGTATTTTTGCACTGTCATTAGACGTCATGCTGAAAGGAATAAATCACCCGTATCTAGTGACTCGCTCCCACATCTCTCGGTCATTTTGGGGCACGTTGTTCCGCCGCTAAAAAAGATTGCGTTCACGGAGCGTCAAAAGCGGATTTTGCGCGAGCGCAGCTTAAATCTGGACGCGCTTAACGTTGTCAATCTGCTGTTGCGTTCAGTCGTAGCTCCCGTTTCGCAGAAACTTAAGCGTGGAGAATGGGTGAACGAAAACGTTTTTGGCGGGAAGCTGCTAAACTACGAGATGATGTTTACAGCTGTTGAGACCAAAGCTGCTGCCAAAGCCAAAAACTGCTAACAAGAAGTGAGAAACGTGCCTGTCATGAAATGAACCTACATGACAAAATTGAGCATCAGGCCGACAGAACCAAGCGCTTACTACAGTACATAAAGCGAGCGTGATGGCTGCGTTTTTCAAAGCTAAGAAAGCCCGAGAAGAAGTTCCGAGTAAGGGTGCTGCTGCCGGCAAGTCGAACAAAATATATACTCTACCTCTCGGAGCGATAGTGTCAACTACGGAGGATCATGATGTCGATTCTATTGTAAGTACGGTACTCCATACTTAAGGAAGATGACACGTTTTTTGTCGGCCCTATTTACAAAAATAGCATTTAACAATATAGTGACACGAAATACGTCTGGTACAGATATCAGCAGCACCAATAGGCATTGCTGTCCCTAAGACTTATGAGCTTAAAGCTTCACCAGAAAACCCCGACCATCATGGTTGCATTTACCATCCCGCATCATTTTCGAAGACTCAATCCTCGCCTTCATCGTGCGCTGTTTTGCTCTCGTTGAG